ATGATGATGATGATGATGATGATAATGATGATGCTTCTGTTAGTGCTGCCGATGAGGGTAATATGAGTGTGGGTGTGGATAAGGATGATGTTACTAATGATAAATATTATGCGGATAACGATGTTTATGATTGGGGTTGATAATGAGGAGGAAGAGAAGAAGGATGGCAAGGATTATACTTCTTCGCTGATGATGATGCTGATGAAGGGAGATATGATAATTATTGTGTTGACAATAAAGATTATTCTGCTAATGATGATGGTGATAGAGATTAGAATGCTGCATATGATGATGCTGATGATAATGCTGAGTATGACAATTTTGTCGTTGCTGCTGATGGTGACAATGATAACGTGGGTGGGGATAATAATGATGCTGTTGATGATAAAGATTATGCTGATTACGATGATGATGCTGCTGCTAATGAGAAGATGATGAAGTTGATAAAGATTATTCTGAAGCTGATGGTGACGATGATGAGGCTAATATCTAAAATAGACTTCGTAGTAGGGGTGGATTGTAATGAGTATTGCGGGAATTGGACAACCGAGCTTGGGACAAGAGGCGCAAGAAGCAAAGTCAGAAGGAAATTGGCAAGACGATGGCAATAATGATGGGGTAGACGGGCAGAAGAAGAAAGCGAAGAAAGTGAATGATGCGCATCTGAAAGTAAACACGACCGACATGATTTGGGGATACTAAAAGGGACTATTCAATGCCTTTGGTGGTGGCGATGTTGATTAATGACTGATAATAGAGGGAAAAGACAGACAATCCATGCTGCCACGAGGACCGACAAAAGCCGAAGTCTTTGTCGGCTCAGTCTCACGAAGCAGGGGCAGACTGTGCGACGAGGCGATGAGGCTCAGGGCAGCGTTTGTAGATCGCGATAGTAGCAGGGTTTGCATGAGCCCGTGTGTGTGTGTGTGTGTGTGTGTGTGTGCGTGTATGAAAGAAAGCAGGAAGATGGTAGTGGAGGTAAAAAGCGAGTTGGAGTTGAGGTGGAGCGGAACTCGACTGCCCAGTCTTGGAAGCATAAAATCTAAACGATGACATAGTTAGATAATGACGACTCAAGCCGCACACCCACACCTACCCCAGCCCACACAATACAATACAACACAACACAACAACCCACACCACCTCTGTTTTAGGTTGGCCTCAAACACATTCCCTCGTGCCGGAGGGGTCAAGACGACGTGTTTCCGGCACGCATTAGCCTTCGAAGCCCGACCAAACGAAGCCGTCTTCTTCACCAATCCTTGAAGTCTTAGAAGCAGACGAAACGGCAGATGTGCCGAGCAGCTGATGTGCAGGGACTCTAAGACAACCAAGTCTTCCGGCCCACTGTTACGACACTAGTGGTCATCTGGTCAGACGAAAAACTAGTCTCCCGACCCTCATCGGTTGCGTATGTGTCCGACTCCAGTCTTTCGGGTCTCGTCAAGAACCAAGCATCTCGTTGACCTGCGCTATCATCTGTCCTCGAGATACAGGCTTCTGACTGACCGGTTGTACGTCTGTGTATCTGCGTTTGTGCGTGTAAATTTGATGGGAAGATTGGCTGACTGATCGGTCGGCTTGTGAAGGTCCCAACTGTCTCTCTATTGAGGTCCCAGAAGATAAAATAGACCTGCAATATTTTTACCTGTAGGATTGCGAGATTAAATTTTAAAATTACTCAAATAACCTCTGGCTCTAGTTACTCACTTTAAAGTAGCATATTTTACGAATTAAGTATTGTTTTAGTGGCTACCAGTAAATCAGTAATATGAGATGTATTCACCCGATTTCGTTTAAGGTGATGAAGGATTGGTAGAAAAAGAATTTTCCCACAATGATATGAGTTGAGCTGACTCCCGCTGAGTGTCGAAACTGCAGTCCACTTCAGCCTGGATGAGAACAACTTTTGAGCAAGCAAGGCTATTTGAAATTGAATGGAAACGTCAGCTCAACTCATACCATTGTGGGAAAATTCTTCTTCTACCAGTCCTTCATCACCTTAACCGAAATTTGGTGAATACATCTCATAGTATATTTTAATTTGAGAGGAAATGTGAATCTGATTTATCTTCGCTTGTATTAGTTTTCGGAAACTATCAGTTGATCTTGAATAAAAACTTTACTCACACTATACCGATTAAGGTGATGAGGGTAATGAAGGTTGAATTTTATTCCTAAATCGTATCAGTAGGCCCCACGATACCATTGAAATTCACTTTGCTGTGCTTCCCAAAAGGTATTCTCATCGTGACAGTTTCGGCCCCAACAGGACTCGAACTCGTCAAGTGCAACGTATACTTTGTACATGTTGCCATCCCCCACATCGCCACGGACACCATCAACCAATGACGATCGGTAATATTACTTATATTAGATTTGAGTATGTCTATAAACTGCAGATAGATGTCGAATAAGTGCTGTACTCATCTTAGGTCGCATGAAGTGATGAAGGACATGCATATGCAATACACGCCTACCTATAGAATATGGCTAGACCTGACCCGCCATGTAAGGCAGGTCACCACTCGAAACGACTCCAATTTGTGACCGTAGTGAAGTTACCCGGTCACTTCGTCTATCCAAAATCACGCGTAAATCCAACTGTTAAAGAACTTGGCAGAAAAATTTGGCGGTGTACACAGTCAGGGTGAAATTACGACAGTCGTGGCAACCTCAGAGAGACTCACTACTGGCCCCAATTCAGTAGTACTGTACTATGATTATAAACAATTTTTCCCGAAAACTTTGGATACTACTGATTCAGTTTATAGTAGTATCACAGAGTTTTAATAGCCAATATTAATCTGCTTTATCTGCACATTTTCTCAGTGTTAACAGTGACGAGGAATCTGAGTTAGCGTGCTGGCATGCCTTTCAGTTCACTTGAAAAGACGAGACGAATAAATTCGTAAATTGGTACTACTTAATATCGTTTTTATACATGCAGGACAAACAC